TGGTGTGCTTCTTCCATGTGGGCTTTGTTGCTTCTGAGCTTGATGGCCGCTTGTTTACCTTCAAGCCTTTAAGACCCCAGATGCTATGGCAGGGACCCGAGCAAATATAGGGCTACACATGGTAGACAACTAAAAAGGAGGTGGAGAAAGGGAAACAAAATAATAATCAAAAAGAATTGGGTCGCAGAGGCACAGGGCGCTAACCCACCCAAGGGGAGGGTATTGTTTGCATCGCCACAGGGAAAGAGGGACCACACTTCAATCCAGTTCTCCTCCATCTTTCTTAACCCTTCTGAACTTTGTCCTTCAGTGAATGCTGTTTATCTTAAATGGTTGATTACTCTAACAGTGGGGGAAGCGTGCCTGGGAAGCTCAGGTCCAAACCTGAAGGGTGACTTAAGTGGTCCCACCAGTCCTTCTATGACTAGGAAGCCTGTGCCTTTTAGGATTTTGAGTTTTGTTATCTGTCTTTCTCCCACTCTGTCTATTACTACAGCTCATTGCCATCCAGTCCATGCCAGCTCATAGCGGCCTTCTAGGGCAGGGGAGACTGCCCCTTTGCGTTTCTGAGACGGTGATGCTTAACCAGAGTAGAACACCCCATCCCCACCCCCACTCTATCTAGGACCTCCTACTGCATCCTTATCAGAGCAATTGGTCTTGCCCTTCTGGTCTCAGGAATATAGAGACCAGGCTTGTTTGGTCCATTGGACCATTGGGCTGAATATTTCCATAGATCTTTTCATTTTCCTCACTCTTCTTTCCTCTGGATGGGGAGACATCAATAGCTGTTCCTTAGATGGCTGCTCACGAGCATTTAAGACCGCAGTAGCTACTCAACCAAAGTAGGATATAGAACGTTGTCTTTATCAACTATGTTATGTGATTTGACCTTAGTGTCCCTTGAGACTATGGTCCTGAACTCCAGCAATTCATTCCCTCAAGGTGAAAAGCCTGATTTTGAATGACCTAAAGAGTCCCTTGTCTAGCTACACAATGTTTGTGTTGATCGCTTTCCTGCCTCTTTAATGCTGACTCATTCGGGTCCAGCTGCACTTTCTTACCCAACCTGGCCCGGAGCTGGATCCGCTTTCCCGTGGCACCCCTGCCTCTCTGCTGCAGCACTGGTTGCAGTTCTATGATCAGAGAGATGGTGCCTGTGCTCAGTCTCAGACCATAAGCTCCACGAGGCCAGGGATCATGTCTGTTTCTTTGTTTGTCCCCAAGGACCCAGCTGAGTCTTGGGCAAGTAGCAAATGCTCAGCAAACATGGGTTGAATGAGTAGTGAATAATCTCATTGTTTTGAAACTGTATAAGATGCGGTTCATGAGTAAGTGGTTCCCTTTAAGGACACTTGTTAAACTATTTGGAGTTTCCTGTAAGAAGACCATGTGGACAGAAATCTCTGAGAGAAACAGGGCAAAAAGATTCTGTTCTGTGTCCTGACCACACCCAATCACCCAGGAGATCTCTGGGTGGCACAAATGATTAAGCACTCTGCTAATAACCAAATCATTGGTCATTCGAATCCCCCCAGTGGAGATGTCCAGAAGGGCTGGTTATCTATTCCAGGAAGGCTTCCTATTATCCTGTAGTGCTGTTGAGTCCCTGGGGTCATAGCATCCGTGGGTGATGGAGTAGAACTGCCCCATAGGAATCTCTTGGCTGTAATCTTTCAGGGAAGCAGATCACCAGACCTTTCTTCCACAGAGCTCCTGACTGGGATCTGACCCCTTCCCCAAAATCTTTCAGGTAGCCAAGCACTTAACTGTTGCACCACCTGCTGAAATCTGCACAAGACACAGTTCTGTTCTGAAATTTGACCGTAAAGGCTTTGATTTTTTTGGTGTTGGGGATTCAGAAAGAGTACCTGCTCATGAAGAGGAGTGTGCGGTCACTTACCTGTCCCTGCTGGGTCCTGATGCTCACACTGGGAGAGGCTGTCCTGGTGACTGATGACACTTTGTCAGCATTACACTGATGGTGGCATCCACCCCACTAACCCCTCAAACCAGTGCTGACACCAGGCCCTAAACCTCTCTCTCTCTCCCTCCCTCCCTCCAGATTTATGGTCAATGTGACATGGGATGGCAAGGACTTGTCCTTCACTGAGGAAGGCTATCAGGTGCACCCGAGGCTGGTGGTGATTGTGCTGAACAAGGACCGGGAATGGGAGAAGGTGAGCACCCTTCTGCATGCTGCCTGCAGGGAGGGGCAAGAGCATGGGCAACTGCTGCACCCCAGTTACTCTGGGTCCCCAGTGAATTTCCCATTGTCGTGCTTTAGACCCCTGTCTCACAGCCAGGGGCTGACTTTCCTGGAATGCTGCTGCCCCCATGGCGTTAAGTGCAATGGCAGTATCTCCTGTGGGTGAGTGGACACTGCTGTGAGGTGTCCTCTATTCGGGGCTGTCAGTCCAGTAGAAAGACTTGGAATCGCTAACCGACAATGACATGTTTGTACACGTCACTGTAGTCATGAATATCATATACACGACAATGACATGCGTGTTTTCCTAGATGTCACAAGGTTAGGCCAGGTCCACGGAGATGGTGTTTGTGGACCCCCTCCCCATGCCCTGTGTTATCACTAACTGCATCTTCTCCTCGAACTCATCCTGTTTTCAAACGTAAATGTATCATACTGGAAGTGGTAGGCTGGAGAAGTGAGAGTATGCCTTGTATGCCGTCTTTCCTACTGCACATGAAAGAGTCCTGGTGGGACTGTGGTTCAGTGCTCAGCTACTAAGCAAAAGGCCTGTGATTCGAGAAAGACGTGGCAGCCGGCTTCCATAACGCTTCCATCTAGGAAATCCTCTGAGGCCATTTGACTGTGGCCTGAGAGGTATCTGTGAGTCAGCATCAACTCAACAGCAGTGGAGTTTTATTACACATGACCTGCTGTTATGCACCATTGAGTTGATGTCTGGCTTGGTGTGACCCCATGTGACACAGCAGAATTTCTCTGTAGCATCCCTTAGGCTGATGGACAGGTCTCTTGTGTGAATCCTCTGGCTGGGCTGGAACCAACAATCTTTCAGTTAGACTGTCTATGTGTAACTGTTGTTCCACTGGGGCTTCTTACATGTATGTATGTTAATTAACTACTAACAAACAATGAATTCTAGTGTACCAACCATCCTGAAGACAGCTCAGGACTGAGCAGTGTTTCCCAAGGTCACTTTGAGTCAAGGCCAACTCAACTGCAACTTAACCAACAGCAAATAAAGATGTCAGCATCAACCCCTCCTTGGGCTGTGGAAGCCATGGCCTGAGTTCAACAGGAAAACTTCACCAAGAGTTAAGTGATTCTCATGCGCAAAAGTGATGATCTAGGTGTTAGCCACACTCTCCTCTCCTCCCATGAATCTAACTCTCACACTAGTTTCCACAAGATCCATTTCACATTAAGAGTGGAATGAAAGAGGCTTTGACAAGCAGTGCATGGTCACTCGACTCCTGAGACAACTTGAGCTGTTTCTTTCATTTCCACATCAAGGAGTCCTGGTGGTGTAGTGTGTACACATTGGGCTGTGATCTGCAAGGTCAGCAGTTGGAAACCACTGGCCACTCCACAGGAGAAAGACAAGCCATTCTACTCTTATAAAGAGATAGTCTCAGAAACCCACAGGGATAGTTCTACCCTGTCTTAGAAGGTCACTGTAAGTCAACTTCTACCCAGTGGCAGTGAGTTTGGCTTGGCTTCAGAGACCATATCAGCAGACCAAACCCACTGATGTCACGTTGTTTCTCATTCTTGCACCCGCCATAGGACAGAGCAGAACTGCTCCTTAGAGTTCCAAGACTGTACATCTTTACTGGAGCAGACAGCCTCGTCTTTTCCCACAGAGCAGCTATTGGGCTTATCCAACAGCATCGCCAGGGCTCAGTGAGGAAGATTGGGCAGGGAGGGTGTGGTGTGGGAATCAGAATACAATTAACTTGGACCCAAAGAAACTATGCCACAAGCAGAGCCATTGGACTTCAAGGAGGCAGAGACAAAAGGGACAGGGAAGGTCAAGTTTCAGAACTGTTCATGTATCCCTTCTGGCAGCTTCAAAATGCTTCCTGGTACACATGGAAAATTCAGCAAAGTAGACCGCATTCTGGGCTGCCAAGGATCATAAAGGCTTAGAAGCATTGAAGTATGAAGCTCAGACCAAAGAAAGCAGCAGAACACCTCCAGAGAAAGAAATGGTATTCAATAAGAGAGCCACAGACTAATATAAGGGAAATTCAAAAAATTTAGGAAAAATTCCAGTTTTTCTCAAAAATTTTGAACCCCCCACCCACCCACTGTATCTAGCGTCCTCAAGGAGTTCAAGGAAAATGCCAGCCAAGCACAACTGTGGAACAGTTAATATACTAGAGGTCCTTCAAGTTCAAGAAGAACAACATGACAGCAAAAGCCCACAATTACAAATCAGACATAAATAGCAACTAGAACTCTACAAGACTGTCAAGATAACTAACCAACTCAAGACTTTGTGAAAGTAAAGCAAGCCAAAATGCTGTCCATAGTGATTCATGCCTGTTGATAGTCATAATGGTAGTGAATGGATAAAATAATACGAGTCAAGAGGCAAAGATTGGCACAATGGACAGAAAACATGACCCGTCAACATGCTGCCTACAAGAAACATACCTTAAGACACAAAGATATAAACAAGTTAAAACGCAAAGTGGGGGAAACATAACTAGGGCACATTATCCAAAATATTTTTAAGTTTACTTTCAGATAAAATAAATGTTAAGTTAAAATTCAGACAAAGAAGAGACAATAAGAGACAAAGAAGCTAATATATAGTGATTAAAAGGTCAATCCACCGCGAAGACATATCAGTAGTACATATCTATGCACGAAATGACAGAGCTCCAAAATATATTAAGCAAACTTCAACAGAATTGAAAAGAGAAATAACGATTCTACATTTTTCTCACGTATTTTGGACATGTTATTGGGAGAGACTAGTCCCTGGGGACATTGTGCTTGGTAGAGTAGAGGAACCGCATAAATGAGAGAGGCTCGGATGCGATGGACTGACACAGTGGCTGCAACAATGGACTCAAATTGAGAACAATTGTGAGGGTGCCGCAGGACTGGGCTGTGTTTTATTCTGTTCTACATAGTATGTTCGGGTTCTTGAGACAAAACCAGGACACTTATGATTAGATAGATAGATAGATAGATAGATAGATAGATAGATAGAGCACAAAGGAATAAAACAGCTATTTAGTCCACACAGCAGTACAGAGGGCTCAGTTTAATTCACTTCTGTGGAACAGTTAATATACTAGAGGTCCTTCAAGTCAGGAGAGCTGCTGGGTCCAAGGTCAAGGAAGCAGACAGCTGAGTCTTCCCTTGAGCAATGCAGGCAGAGTCTGCCCACAGGCAGCAAACAGCAGGGCAGATCACCAACAGTCAAGCAGCACAGGAGCTTAGGGAAGCAGGCCTGGATGGGATAGTGAACTCAAGCAATGCAAGACGACAGGATCCGACAGCCTCAAGCTCAAGTAATGTACACACCAGCAGCGTGGTGAAGCAGGCCTCAAAGGAACCTCAAGCTCTAGTGACACGATCCACAGGTTGGCTTGTCTCACAGGTAGTTTAGCTCACAAGTTGAGGCAGAGGACTGGCTAAAGCAGCAGCATGCTAGTCCGACCTTATTAACCCCTTATGTTCCTATTGGCCAGGTTGGCACAATAAACCTGCTTATCACACATAGGGTTGCTATGAGACGGAACTGACTTGACAGTACCTAATAGCATTAATAATAAGAAACCTTGACACACCATTAGGATGGGCAGAACCACTCAAAAGAACCTTGATAAGATGATCAAGGGGAATGTAACAAAGAGTAAGTGCTGAAACCCTGGTGG